AGCTTTCTTTTCTGTGGAGATTCTTTCAGCAAAGATTATCTACTATTTTCTCCATACTCTGGGTGCTAGAAACACATTGCTGAACATGACGGTCAGAAACCCCAGCTCTTGTGAAGTTCCCACTCTAGAAGGGACAAAGAAAGCTTACATGACGGGTCAGGGGGGGCATTAAGTGCTAAAAGGGAAGACAACACAGGGCAAAAAAGCAAGCAAGCAAGCACTGGAATAGTCCATACTTAGTTCTTACACTCGGTTAATATCACTTGAACAAGTTATTCCTTTGTCTGCTTCTATTTAACATCTTAATATTTGGAAGTGCTTTGACTTTATAGCTTGGCTACCAGTAACATAGACTATGGGATGTTCTTGTTGTTAGCTACTGTCAGGGCAAGCTGTGACTCCTGGCTCCCCTGAGGACAACGGGACCAGAGTGCCATGATCCAGAAGATTTTTCCCCTGGCTGCTTTTTGAGAATCAAATCACCAATCCTTTTCTTCAGACTATATTATTTGCAGTTCATACCTTCTTTAGAATGTATTTTTCAAAAAATTTGCTCTTGTAAGGGTAGTGTGACTTGAGAATTTTCACAGCATTCTCTTGCGGGGTTAAGAGAATAGTAGTGAACTGTACTTGGCTAGATTGTAGTCATGGCAAGTAGTTACTAAGGTATCTACTTACCGTCACCTCTATTTAACCTTCTCACTCAGGTTGTCCTCATTAGGGTTTTTCACTTGCAACACCATTATCACAATCATATACAGTACTGTATATTTTTAGCATCTTATATAAACTTTTCCACAAATGCCCAAGTTATATAACCAGCTTCCCCATCTCCAGCCTCCTCTCCCCACAGGCTTGCCTCCTGCTTCTCACAGATTTACAGTAGGGGTGAGAAGGAAGGGGTGTGTGTGTGTTTGTGTGTGTGTGTGAGACAGAGAGAGAGAGAGAGAGAGAGAGAGAGAGAGAGAGAGAGAGAGAGAAAAGAGAGGGAGAGAGATAGATCACAGCTCAATTGAAAATATTCATGTTCCAGAACAGAGCTGATAGCACACTAAAAAAAAGTGTTCTTGTTGATCCCCTCTTCTATTCTCAGCCTTCACCTTCTGCTGTTACATTTTCATCAGGTGTCACATTGCTGTCTTTCTGAGTCTGGGAGACTGCCTCCTCTCACTGTGTTCAAACAAACTCATAGGTAGAAAGGACCTTAGAGATGGTTCCAGTTCCCTCAGGTGGTGGTATGGTGGTAAATAAGGCCTGGTGAAGCCAAGTGACCTCCTGCCAGAGTCAGAGGCATAAATATGGCCATACCTGGTCCGGACTAACTTTCAGGATAATTTATGTTAAACCAGCAGCTTCTCATATCTTTGTTATCTTATACATAAAATGAGCAGTGTTACAAGGTGGTCTTATACCTTTCCCATCCGTGAAATATAAACACTATTGAGTAGGTATTGACTAAACTAGAGTTTATGTTTTTCCATACATTGTGTAGAATATTATCAATTGAAACTAACTGGGAAGAGGGGGTAATTCTCTTGGCTCTTTAAAACTTAAACTCAGTCTCTCTTTTTATATTATTAGATGTGAAGAAACAAGTAGCAAATTCATCCAAAGGAAAAAAAAAAGAGGTTCAAATACACATCTTCAGCTAATTTGTAGACAAGAAAAGCACTGTGTTATGTTATTATTAGCATTCATTTAACTATTTCAGGAAAAGCCTGCTCATGATGTGGTGATGGGGGTGAGGAGTGTTTAGGGGAGGGCAAGAATAAGCAGGCAATGATGGTGATAAGCATTTTCCAAATTAGGAAACAGTTACGTTTTTCTTCGTACTCTCTTACATAACTGATCTCATTTTAGAAGACAACACTAAAAAACTGAAATGAAATACAAATCTCATCTTTTCACTATTTTGTTAGAAAAGAATGACACTAGAAAATCATGCTGCGGGGTGGGGAGAGAGAAGGGAGACCTTCACCCATCACATTCCTCCTCTCAGGGCCACCACCTCACAGGGCTTCCCTTTCTCCTCTCAGCCTGCTTGGTGAGTCAGAGACCAGAGTCTAAATTTTAGAAACAGAGCAAAGATACCAATTTCTCTCTCCTTTGCATTTCACAAAGAAACCACATCAAAGTGCGTCTCCCTTTTGGGTGGCACCAAATGACTGGAGAATGACCTGTTCCACAGCAAGTGATTGCTCTGCCCCAGACTTCCTGATTCAGAGGGAAGTTGTTCAGCACACAAAGGCCACAGCAGCAGCACAGCCTCTTACATAAATAAGTTACATAAATGAGAACGAGTTATGTAAATGTATAAACCAGAAAACATGAATTATAACCATTCACAAATGCCAAGGAGAACACGACAAGATTCCGCCTACGGTTCTTCTTCTTCTTTTTTTTATTTCTCACATTATCATAACTGTGCCATTTTATTTCACACCAGAATTAGATTTGGTGATTTGTCATAATAAATATATTCGACGAAGAGACTCTATTATTTTCTGAATTATACATTCTACTGTTGGAGGAAGGAATTACAGAATAAAACTCTATTAGTCTCTATTTGATAAAAAATATGTACATGCTTATTGATTATTAATATACTCCCTGCAATACTACAGGAAATAGATTAATCATTTGCCATTGTACATATTTTGTATGCTGCTGCCAAGTACAAGAATATCCCTGAAAAGTTAAGATCCATAGACTATACGTATTTACTCTTAGGGTTTCAAGTCTCAAGTGAATGTGTTGGCATCTAACTAAAGTCATTATTCTGTTAAATGAGGGAAGGTAGAAACGTACAAAGTTGGTATTATATATGAAATTATGATAATTTCACTGATCCCTTTTACTTCCCCAAAGAATGAGTTAGCTTTGAGTTGTGATGTTGAATAGTATTAACTATCCCATGGACTAAAATAAAAGCTATCCCATGGACTAAAATAAAAAACAAACAAACAAAACAACCCAAACCCACGCAAATGTGTCTTGAAAGAACAACTAGGACACTCTTTAGATGCACAGAGGGTGAAACTTGGTCTCACATACTTTGGGCATGTTGTCAGGATTGACTCGTTCTTGGAAAAAGACATTACGCTGGAAAACACCGGGAGTCAGAAAGAGGAAGACCCCCAACAAGATAGATTGGCACAGTAACGGTAACAATGGGCTTGGGCACAGGGTTTATGGTAAGGATAGTGTAGGACAGGACCTAGTTCAGATCTGTTGTTCTTGGGGAATCAGAGTACTAGCATACTAGCCAGCTGGAGGCATCTAACAACAAGTTGGGGCTTAGAGGTAATTTGCTATCAAGATAACAAGAATGAGAATTTGTCTACTTTTGCATCCAATTGTAGAAAGACTTGGGTTTTTCCTCAGCCAGCTCTTTCTCCTCATATTTGTTGAAGTAACACATTTATACTTTCTCTGAAGTCATATGATTTGCTCATTGTGTAGGAAAAACAAATAGGATTCAAAGCATGATTTTGATTCTTAACTGCCTGTTCTATATAAAGAGGGATATTAATTAAACATTAACCTATTTCAGACATGTTATGCCCAGGTTGGCATTCCATTTAGCAAATTCCTTTACTTTTAAAATATCATGTAAATTATTTTTAGACTCTAACATAGTACTCACTCACAGAATGAGGGTTAACTCACTGCTATCCAGTTGATTATCATTCATATGGATTCTCCATTGGGTTTTGCTGTAAAGCTTTACTAGAAGAAACTGCCCAGCTTTCTTCCCTAGCAGTTAGAGGATCAGAACTTCCAGAGACCTGCAGGTTTTTGGAAAACATAGCAATACTCTATGGATTAGAACGCCAGAGGACCTTAGAATGAGATTTTGGTAACTTAAAAGCCTTTGTTTAGAGCTGTGTGATTTGGGGCAAATAACTTTCTGGGCTAGGAACCCATTTGTAAAAGGACTAAAGTTCTTCAGTCACTTCCAGGATTGACAATTTAACACCCTATAATCAACATCTATAAATATTTTCAACTAGGAACGTTAGATGTGTTGCTATCGAATTTAAGGAAATATAACCCATTATATAAAAATCATCATAATCTCTGTCGTCAAAATTGTAGATCCTGCTAGGGTTACAATGATTTTGTAACTGCCATATAAAAAGCATTTCTCCCTGATTTTTTTTTTTTTTTTCAGAACCACCAAGTATAGACCTTAGTCCGGTTGAAGAGAGATAGTGAGTGAGGTTTCAACAATCCAGCTTAGATCTCATAAATCTGTGGGCTTCCTCCCTCAAGGAAGGGACAGGTTGGGTTATAAATGGGAAAAGCTTCAGGCGCGATTGGATTGCCCTCCAGAGAGTGGTTTTAGAATGTGATTGGGTTTTCCGTTGTTGGTAGATCCTAAACTTCGAGTCACAAAGTCAAGATGTGCGTCCCCAAGCCTTTTGCCTCTACATACCCATCTGTAACTGGGGTTTAGGACTGAGCTACATCTGACAACAACAACTGCAAGACGCCTGAAGGCTCCTACCAACTGGGAAGAGGGGGTGGGTCCGAGGGTCCCCACCCAAGTGGGTGGACGTGCTCTGCGGTCATAGAGGATTGGAGCCTCTGTCCTCCAGCGGGGGCTGGAGGAGGGAAGGGGGAGGCCCTAGCAGGTAGTGTGGGAAGGATTCCAGTCTTTAGAGGAGGAGGGAGGTTCTTTGTTCGGTAACAACAAGCCGGGCCCTTCTTTGCGGAGAAGCCAATTAGATCCTCGCGGAGGGATCATCTGACCTCCCATCCCTCACCAGGAGGGGGCTCCGAAGGGGCGGGCGGGCGGTGTCTCGGGGAAGCAGCCGCCAGCGAGGGGGGAGCCCTGGCTCCGAGAGCTGAGCCCGGCCCCGCCCTGCGCAGCCCGGCCCCGC